AAAGGATTATGCATCCTTATTCCTCACTTGTAAGGCCTGCAGGAATTAAATGTCTTGCCTCTACAGTCTCCCACAACACCATTCTGGCTAATGTTTCAGATTGTTTTGTGTCATTTCCATCCTTCCATGATTCCTTCTAGGTATGGCATGACCTCACTTTCCAGGGTTCCAAGTCCACTCATCCTGATGAAATTCTTCCTAGCAATTGTCTACAGAGACCTATCTTGTTAATAAGTCTTGTTAATATGTATTAGCTGCTAATTGTTAAAATCCTAGTTTAGACAAGTTGTAGCATTCACATATTAATTGGTCAAGGAAAACCACGTAGATACCCCAGTAGGCTCCCGAGGAGCTGGTGACTGCTCTTAATGGCCTATACGCTTAGGATATGTCTGTATTGCAATAAATTCTGTGTCTTGGAACCTGGGTCAATTAACTTTAACTTGCAAGGCGAAGAATTGCAGTTTAGACATTCAGGCTTGAGTTGGAGCTTAGACTTTGAGACCCTATCCTCATATATGACTCCAGCTCAAATGATTACACCACAGTTTTTAGCCCCACCATAGGCACCAACTCCATGTGTATTCCATGGGGGAACATGGTGGGTGCTGAGTATCCGCTGGTATTCAGCACCCCCTTTCTTCTCAGCACCTCCTGCCATCAGCTGTTCCATGGCACGCTGGAAGAATGTGAGGGTGTGGGGGAGGGAAATCAAGGGTGGAGCACACTCAGGGAGGGGGAAGGAAGAAGCAGAGAAAGGGGTGGGATTTGGGGGAAGAAGTGGAGTGTGGATGGTGAGCCAGGGGGTTGAGCAACCCCCACCAAATTAGAAGGTTGACAGCACCGAGCCCCAAAGCTCTGAGTCAGTCAGCTGACTTGGGCCAGCCAGAGCCATGCCTGAAGTTCTTTTATTTCTGGATAGATAGTCCTTTTAAGTAAAAGGAGCTGGAGTCTGTAAGAGCAAAAGGTCCTCTTAGTAAATACTTCCTTCCCCCACCCCAATGCAAGTGCAGCAAGGAAAGCAGGGAGAGCCAGGGCTTGCAAGTCCCCTAACCCCCCTATCTCCTCCCCTTCACTCTTCTAGCATAGGGACCTTTTATGAGGGGTTATGCTGCATGAAGCTCTCTTGCATTCTTCGCTAGTGTTTGTGTCCCATAGTGCACTGTGATGGTGTTTCAGAATATTGTTGCACATTGAAGCATAAATACAATGTTTGCAGTGTTTTCTGGATGTCATCATTGTTTCCCATTACATTAAATTCTAACATGGAGGATTTTAAAGGGCAGATGCTAAAAAAGCTTCAATCAAGTATTCAATTCTGTATCTACCTTTTTGCCCAGACAAAACCTTTGAGTGCTTGCTTTTTTCAGCATATTCAGCTGTGTATACAGGTAATAGAAATTGGAGGTGAACAAATGGGCTTTGCATATAACTCATTCTATCTTTTAAAAAACAACGAGGAGTCTAACAAGGACTCCTCGTTGTTTTTGCAGATACAGACTAACATGACTACCCCTCTGAGACATTCTATCTTTTGTATGCATGACTATTAGAACCTGCCTCTATATATATGTATGAGGCAGCTCAATAATTGCATATGTACAAATGAGAACAACTTTTTGAAAATTTAGACTTGCCATTTTTTCAGTAGCTTTAAATGGAAGCCTGCTAACTTAGAAATGCATATTAGCCTGTTACTGGAAATGAGGGGCGCAGATGCATACTTCCTTCATCAAGAAAAAACAACAAAGCCTCAAGCTGTCTGAGACTTCCTGCTTTCCTCACCTACTGTTGTACAAAAGAATTTTGTAGGCTTTGTAGGCAGCATGGTGCTGATTCTCTGTAGAATATTCCCTGCAGTTCTGACAGCAGTTTGAATGGATCCATTCAGTTTCTAACAAAGGCAAAGGCTGCACAGAGGCACCACCAAGCAGCAGTATGAGCCCAATTGAAACATTTTTACTATCAAACCCTACCCAATACCCAAATAAAATGATGCTCTCATCCAGGCAAAGAAAGATATGGGAGGGACAGACCCACAGAACAATGCAGAACACAGAGAAGCAAATGCTGAAGAGCATTTCATTAGTAGAAAGACAGGGCAAGATAGAAATTGCAAACAATGAGCTTAAGGAAACATGAAAAGTTAAAACATTCTCTAGAAAAGTGTATGACAGATTAAATCTGTCCCTTAAATGTAGGAGACTAAAGTAAGAAAATACTCCCAGCAGACAAAAATATGAAAACCCTACCAATACCATAAGGCTTTAAGTGAAATATGGAAGTAAGTATTTATTTTACTGTTTGTAGAAATTGCAAACAATGAGCTTAAGGAAACATGAAAAGTTAAAACATTCTCTAGAAAAGTGTATGACAGATTAAATCTGTCCCTTAAATGTAGGAGACTAAAGTAAGAAAATACTCCCAGCAGACAAAAATATGAAAACCCTACCAATACCATAAGGCTTTAAGTGAAATATGGAAGTAAGTATTTATTTTACTGTTTGTGAGTAGGGGTCCATGGGTCCAACTCCTGAGGGCAGTTCTTACTGGAAATACCAAGGTCAGGGCAGGCTGCAAAAGGGAGGCAGATACTCCCCCCACTGATAGGTAACACTGACGTTAAGACGTTAAGACTCCCCAGCTAGTCACAAACTGTGCTTCTGATCTCGCACAGTAATTATCAAGAAGCCAAAAAGAAATCACACAGCTCCCTTTTATTTCATTTCAGTTCTCTGACTACCAGTCAACACGTAGATCCGGTACAATGAGAAGTTATTTTAAAACTTTGTTTACATGCGCAAAATGTTCTTCTGACCCCCAAAAGGCTCAGCCACATACCAAACCATTCTAGGTTTGGATCTTACCCACAATACCATGCTGCCAGGTAATCCTTTCATGTCTAAAACAAAATGTTTTATTATAAAGAAAAAAGAAAGAACAAAAGAGATGTTAAATGATAAAAGTTGTATACATACAAAGACCATACGCATCAGCTTCCTAGCAGTATTAGGAAGTTTGGTGGCTTGATTGTCCCTCTGGAACACATCCTTAGCTTGGCCATCAAGCATGCTAGGCAGTGCATTACCAAACTGTCAGAGTATCACCCAGAAGCACAGCACAAGTTTTGTAATATAGATATACTTACATAACCATAACCCAAAATACAAAGGGTGATACAAACATATGCATGAGATACAAATCTATGCAGCTATATGCTTAGTGTTACATCATAAGCAACTGAAGAGAAAGTGACAGATCATAACATTTTTGTATATATCTTACATGGCATATCTGGCATAACTGACTTCCATTCTATAATATTTATATTCAAAATGTCCTTCTAATGTCCCCCAAATTCCATATTGCATCACACTGTTAACACTGTTCCATAGCTTCTCTGGTTTAGTTGGTGTCTATGTTGTGAGTATATAATGTGAAGATAGGACCATTAATAAAACAGTAATTTTCAATAGTGCAGTTACTCTTTACTTGAACTAAAGGGTGGAAATAATCACAGAGGGATCTGAATGAGGCAACAGTCAAAATGATATTTGAAATTGATTTTTAACTTAAGTTTTATTACCTTGAAAAATTGGAATTAAAATGTTTTCCCAATCTTGCTAGTTTGTGGTTTTTTCCTAGAGCATGTGAAATGAAGGCAGAGTTTTGGCAATCTGGCTGACTTCTTCAGCTATAGAAGCCTTTTTCAGTTAACAAATCTTTCTGTTAACAAGCCTCAGTCTTACACAATTACTCCTAAAGGCATTCTGCCCTCAAAATCTAAAAATTCTGTGCACGGTATTTTAAAATTCTGCATATTTGTGTCAAAATAATACAATATAATCAATCTGATTTCAATTATTTATTTTGGTTATTTAAAATAAAATGCAATGGATGGAGAAAGGGAGTGGGGAACACTGGAGAAAATCACCAAATCCTCTGTGTCTTATAGTAATGTACATAGTATTGATCCTTAACTTCTAGTCATTAGTCAGCAAGTCTGTGTAGCCATATGCTTAGTGTTATACCATAGGCAACGGAAAAGCTAGTGAGGGCTGGGGATTCAAACTCATAATTTATACTGGCTACTGACAATCTCCAGAATGGACAGCAGCAAAACAGTTCATGGAGCCTGTTTTGATAGGAAATGTTTTCAGTGCAAAATTTAGGTCAGATCATCACTAAAGCACCGTGAGCATTGATAAGGCCATATTGTTCTTTACCACTCTGGCAATGTAAAGGAATCTTAACATTTTTACATGTTTTATAATCCAGAAGCAATTCCCTAAGAACAATTAGAACAATTCACTAAGCGGGCAGGCTGCTACCTTCCACTCTGCCTGAGGAAACAGAGCCTGTCCCTGTGCATATGCATGGCCATGGTTGAGCTGGGTGTCAGGGAACAGGGGGAACCTGTCTGTTGCTGCTGACTCAGGAGTGAGTGTTGCTGACAGCAGCTACTGCTGTCTGAAAAAATGTTCAGGCTCCTGAGTGCTCTATTTAGAGATAGTGCTCCCCTGCCACTTCCACACACACACTTCCCTCCTCCTTTCCCCCAACACACACACTTGCATACCAAGCCAAACCCTGACATGGCATCCCTGCTGAGCCAGGAGTAGCTAAAGGGATGTGGGAAGGAAGTCTCTCTAGAGCCACAAGTTGAGTGCCAGGCACCACAAGCCACAGTAGCAGTACAGACATAAGGGTGTATTGTAATTTAATATATTTGAAAAAGTAGAAAATATTTATAAAATTAAATACATTGTACTCCGCTATTGTTTAACAGTGCCATTCAAACTGATTGTGACAATTTTTAATCTTACAATTAATCACGATTATTTTAATAGCCTGACAGCCTGGGTAAACATATATATGAGCAGCCATACCTCTGGTTTCTGATTGAAACAAGACTGAATCAAATCTCAACATCCTTATCCTCACATGCATATTCTGCAACCTGATATATAATGTGAAATCTTGCTGCTTGGTTTTTACAGATTCGAAATGTGGCAGCCAGTCTCTGTGTGGACAGTAAACATGGGGCCACAGGGACGGAACTGAGGCTAGACATATGTGTAAAGGACGGCTCAGAACGGACGTGGTCACATGAACAGGTATTCTAATAACAAAGAAAAAAATTGGAAAATTATTACTTCTCCTCCTCAGACCCTAAAGACATTTCTGAGGCTTTCTCCTCTTCCTAAGCACAGTGTGGAATTTCTTTGTAATCTATTGTTGGCCTTCATAGCTTTTACAAAGCAAACCTTAATATTACCTTAGGGACATCTTTTTTCCTATTTTCCCTTAGCTTCATTTATGGAAAGTTGTTATGCCCAGAAGTTCTTTAGGCTTCTAATTTTGGCATAGTTACACAAAAACGTTGTCTTTGTACCAAATTGTACACCCATTTCAAGCGTATTATTATATATGCATGTGTAATATGTACGTGACTCTCTGCACATGTTTTAATTTCATTTAGCTGACCGCATTTCTGAAAGTAGACATGTTTGTTCCAAAACATCCACATTTGGTATTGGCCAGTGTCGGCAAACAGGATACTGGGCTAGATGGACCTTTGGTCTGACCCAGTATAGCCATTCTTATGTTCTTATGCGGAAGAGCAGAGGAGCCTACCATGTCTGTGCCCTTCTTCTCCCTTCAGCCTAATAATCCTCACGACTAGAAGTGAGATGGAAAGATTTCAGATATGTTGGATTCGGAGATGGGTCAGATCAATGTCCAAGGAAATGGTATTAGCAACTATGTTTAAATGAATTTGGGGTGGAAGGCAATAATGTGTGTTTTCAACCAAAACAATGTGGATTCAAAGAGATTGTAATCAAGAGATAATGAATTAATTATCGTTCACATTTATCTGGGCTGTGCCCAAGAGCCAACCAATAATTGTGTCAGTCCCTGGCCTGAAAAGTTTAGTCTCCATAGACAGAACAGACATGAGGCCTGACAATGGATCTAATACACTAGGAGCAATGCGATGGCAACAAACCTCGTGTTAGTCACCAATATTTTTCTTCAAGGCCTTATGCTGGGGTGGGGAGAGGAGGAGGGCACCACCAGGGTGGAAGTCCCTGCACAGTCCTAAACACAGGGAGATTCCAGTACAGTAGGCCTAGCTGGGGTCCCATTTTGTCCTTCACCATCCCAGTGCAGCAATCCTGCTTTGGCTGCTTCTTCTCCTACATTTGGGAGTGAAGGAAAGAAGGGTGCTGGACTGATACTTGAATGAGTCAGGCCAAAGGGATAGCTTTTTGAGAAGGGGAGCAAAGCTATGTGGGGTGAGAGAGACTGCAGTGGAGATGTTGAGAGTGAGGCCAGGAGGTTAAGGATTGACTTGAGTGCAGTCCAGAAATACTGATATAGAGAACCAAAATTTGAAATGGCTCTTCAACATAGCGGACAAAGATATTTAAAAATATCCAGTGGCTGGAAGTTGAAGTAGAAAAATAAGGTGTGAATTTTTAACAGTGAAGGAATTAAACATTTGAACAATTTACCAAGGATTGTGGTAGATATTCTCCATTACTGGATTTTTTTTAAAAAAATATGATTGGATGCTTTTTAAAAGATGCTTTTTAAAAGATCAGGATCTACTGGTAGATCTTGGAGCCTCTGACATATGATCCTGACTAGTTTGGCCAGGGAGCTATCAAGCACTGGCACTGCAGTTACTCCTTCACCTACTGTCCTGCTGCTCCTGGCCGTCTCTTGCTTGCTGTGCAGAGTGTGGGAGGGAGAAGAGGGGGGTGCTGATGTCAGGGTGTCCCTTCTCCCCCCACTTCTGTTCTCTATCGCCACACAGAGAGAAGGGGATGAAGAGAGCTTGGTAATGCAAACCTGTAACTCTCATGCACTGTGTGTGTGTGTCTGTCATTTTCACAAACACACACTGTCCTTTTCTCTCATCTCCTGATCCAACACATACTTGCAAAGTGGGATATTTTCAGTTTTTGACTGGTCTGTGCATTTTATACAGCCTTCTAGTCGAATAAAAGAGGTTTATATGTTATTTTACTGGGTTTGTGTAGGGTTCACAACCCCTTAAGTGATTTTTTTCTCTAATCATATGAAAACTATAGCTTTTCTCCCAGTGAAAACTGTTATGACATGTCCCTTCAGCCCCTGAGAGAGGCAGAGCAGGGTCTCCACATGTGGTCCTTGCCTGCAGACACCATTTCTGTAGCTACTATTGATCAGTAATGGGGAACTGTGGCCAGCAGAGGTTGTGGGCTCAGTGCCTGTAGATGAGGCCAGCACATGATGCCATGGAGCCATTGATGTACATACCTGCTGCTTTCAGAAGTGGTGCAAGACCAGGGCAGGAGTAAGCCTGCCTTAACCCTACTGCTCCACCAGATGGAAACCGTCTCAGTTAAATGGTACTCAGCCAGAGCCTGCTTCTTGAACCCCTGTTCCAGCCCTGAACCTCCTCCTACATCTGAGGCAGGTGGTTGAGTATGAGTCCCCCTTCACCCAAACTCCTTCCTGGAGCTTGCACCCTGAAACCCCTTCTGGACCCCAATTCCCCACCCTGGGCTAAGCCCAGAGTCCCTCCCACACTCCAAATCCCTTGGCCCAAGAACAGAGCCTGCACCCCAACCTCCTACCCTAGCCTAGTGAAAGTGAGTGAGAATGGGAGGAAGAGACATGGAGGCTATGTCTACACTGCAGAGTTTTTGTGCAAAAACTCACGGAGCGTCCACACCTCAAGCATGTTTTTGCGCAAGAAAACTTACAGCGAATCTACAGAATAGAGGGGTTTTGCGGTATAGGCATTCCTCTTTCTATGAGGAATAACTCCTTTTTGCGCAAGAGCTCCTGCACAAAAAGGTGTGTGTGGATGGAAAACAGGAGTTTTTGGTGCAAAAACAGCCTATCGAAAGAAGCATAGGTACCCTGGTGGCCATTCTGTTAATGGCAATGAGAGCTTTCCTGAGAGAGAGCGTCCATGCAGCGTGGACGCTCTCTTGCGCAAGAAGTTTTTATGGAATATCTCTTCCACAAAAAGCTTCTTGCGCAAGAAGCCTGCGGTGTAGACATAGCCGGAGTGAGCAGGGCGAGGCCTCAGAGAAGGGGTAGAGCAGGAGCGGGGCCTCAAAGAATGGGTGGGAATCATAGAACATTAGAACAGGAAGAGACCTTGAGAGGTCATCGAATCCAGTCCCCTGCCTCATGGGAGGACCCAGTACTGTCTAGACCATCCCTGATAGACATTTATCTAACTTTTAAATATCTCCAGAGATAGAGATTCCACAACCGCCCTAGGCAATTTATTACCACCCTGACAGATAGGAAGTTTTTTCTAGTGTCCAACCTAAACCTCCCTTGCTGCAGTTTAAGCCCATTGCTTCTTGTCCTGACATCAGAGGCCAAGGAGAACAATTTGTCTCCTTCCTCTTTGTAACACCCTTTTAGATATGTGAAAACTGTTATCATGTCCCCTCTTAGTCTCTTCTTCTTTTCAAACTAAACAAGCCCAGTTCTTTCAGTCTTCCTTCATAGCTCATGTTATCTAGCCCTTTAATCATTTTTGTTGCTGTTCTCTGGACCTTCTCCAGTTTCTTGAAATGTGGTAACCTGAACTGGACACAATACCCCAATGAGGCCTAATCAGCCCAGAGCAGAGTGAAGAATGACTTCTCGTGTCATGCTCACAACACTCCTGTTAATGCATCCCAGAATCGTGTGTGGGATTTTTTTTTTCCTTTTGCTTTTTGCAACTGTGTCACACTGTTGACTCATATTTAGCTTGTGGTCCACTGTGATCGCTAGATCCCTTTCTGCAGTACTGCTTCCTAGAGAGTCGCTTCTCATTCTGTATGTGTGAAACTGGTTGTTCCTTTCTAAATGGAGTACTCTGTATTTGTCCTTATTAAACTTCATCCTATTTCCCATTTCTCCCTTTTGTCCAGATCATTTTGAATTATGACCCTATCCTCCAAAGCAGTTGCAGTTGCTATCATCTGCAAACTTAATAAATGTACTCTCTCTGCCAATATCTAAATCATTGATGAAGATATTGAACAAACTGGTCCCAAAACAGACCCCCTGCAGAGCCCTACTTGTTATGCCCTTCCAGTATGATTGTGAACCATTAATAACCACTCTCTGAGAACAGTTATCCAAACAGTTATGCACCCACCTTATAGTAGCCCCATCTAGGTTGTATTTCCCTAGTTTATTGATAAGAAGGTAATGCAAGACCATGTCAAATGCCTTACTAAAGTCTAGGTATACCATGTCCTCCACTTCTCCCTTATCCAAAGACTACTTACCCTATCAAAGAAAGCTATCCGATTGGTTTGACATTATTTGTTCTTTACAAATCCATGCTGGCTGTTACCTATCACCTTATTATCTTCCAGATGAATTCCTTAATTACTTGCTCAGTTATCTTTCCTGGCACAGAAGTTAAACTGACCAGTCTATAGTTTCCTGGGTTGTTTTTATTTCCTTTTTATAGATGGGCACTATATTTGCCCTTTTCCAGTCTTCTGGAATCTCTCCTGAATTCCATTACTTTTCAAAGTTGACCAATAGGCTGCACATTCCTTGAGTATTCTATGGTGCATTTCATGAGGACAGAAGCAGAGCAAGGGTATTTGGGTTTGAGGTAGATCTTACATTGCACTTAAATTGAAAAAGTGATCTTGTGGTTAAACAGATTGGAGTCCGTGCTCTAGTCCAAACAGAAAATGAGGCAGGGAAATCCTGTGGTCCATGTGATCAATTGGTCTGACCTGCGTAACAATGGTTTAGTCTGGCTGTATAATCTATGAATTAAAGCACGTCAGGTTGGGAAGCAAGAGGGAAGGGATGGAGGGGAAGCAGAAGGCATCAAGAAACCTTGGTGGCAGAGGAGAGAATATGTTGGAGGAAAGAATCACAAGATGACGACTTTGTCATTTCTCCAGGACTTGTTGGACCCAACCCCACCTTTTCCCACCCCTATTCCATCCTGTCCTGCCTCCACTCCTCTCCTTCCCCCCAATACCTCCTGCATGGCACTGAGGGTCAGGGGTAGGAGCTTATAAGCAGAGCCTGCTAGTAGTGCTGCCAATGGGTACTGGGCTCTTTTTTTTTCTATGGGTAATCCAGCCTTGGAAAACAATAGTCAAGAAGAAGAATGAAACTGTTTTTTGAAGAAGACCGCAAACCCTAGATCTTCAAAATTGCTTAGGCATCTAACTCCCACTGAAATCTTGAGAAAAAGAGGTGGGAGAATTTGTGGAAGGAGTCAATGGTTGGAAATCAATGACTGCAGGATAAGCAGATTTAATTTTAAAAAATATTGTGTGTCGGATTGTCTTTCTCCCAAACTTTAATGATCAGTATAATTCCATCAGAGTAAATGGAATGAAACCAATGTAAAACCACTGCAAGAAGAGAATCAGAACAATCATGTCTCTTTAAACTGACTGACCTGTGCTTTACAGACAATCTGAATGATTCCTGTTTGGCTGAACACATTCATATAGGCATTCATACAACAGAGTATTACTCAGAACAATCCAAGAGAGTATGTCCTTGAAAATAGCTACCATTTCAATGGTAAAGGATTACTGAAACCTTAATTAGGCAGAAAGAGAAGTGTAAGTGATAGCTTCAAAAAAAAACTGGCAAGCTCTGATGCAAATATTTAATGAGATAAATTAAAGTAACGTATACAATACAAATATTTGTATTTAGGGGATTACCCTATAAGGTACAGAGTGCTCTTTTGGGTGGTGCTAAGCACCTTCAATTCTCTTGGACTTCTTGGGTGTCGAAGGTGGTCAACACCTCACAGAATTAAGCCCTAATTTGACATATGTAGTTCAAACATTTATCAGTAGAGGGCAGCTCTAGACAAGCAGAACACTATACAGAGTGAAGAAAGAAAGGTTGATGATTTTGTAAGTACAGAAGATTTTCGGTCCTCCAAACCAATAAAGATGGAGCTTTTCAGAGAATTAAAGTAGGCCAACAGAATAAGGGAAAAGATGGTCACTTTTAAAATTCAGGTGAAGAGTAAATTTGATTCAAAGGTAACAATGGTACCGTCTGTTTTATTTTGCAATAATAAACTGGAGGTTTATTTTCAAGGTAAGATTACACTGTAATCAAAGGTTCTTCGTTGAGTAGTGTCCCCGCTGGTGCTCCACGAAAGGTGTTGGGCTCATTCCGGCGCTGCATTCTGGAAAGATTTCATTAGCAGTAGCCCCCTGCTGGACCGTGCATGCGCAGATGCCATCTCACACCGTTCGCGCCCTTTCTGCGATGTGCAGTCCGGCCCGCCAGTTCCTCCTAACCATCCATAGCTGCAGACTGAGTTGGGACGAGCTCCTTCCTCCATTCTGAGGAGAAATAGAGAAAAGTTGTTAGAGAGTAGAAAGTTTGTTTTTTGTCCCAGTTTGCCCCCCTCCCGATAGCTTAGTTAGTTCATTCCAGTTTTTTTTTTTTTAAAAGAGCTTTTATGTACATAGTTCTTCAGCCTCTCGACTGAGTTCATAGAGACTGTACTGGACAGATTTCTGTTGACATCATGCCCGGCTCCCCTGGTTTTAAAAAGTGTGCCTCATGTCGCGATGCCAAGCCAGCGTCGGACGGCCATTCCCGTTGTATAAAGTGATTGGGAAAAGGTCTCATTCCCCAAAAATGCACACATTGTTCAAAACTAACTGCCCGCACAAGATGGGACAGAGAAATGCAGCTAAAAATGCTGCTGTTTAACAAGGCATTATAGCCGCTGTCTGCAGACATTTCAACGGATGAAGCTGCTGTGGCATGTAAGTCCCGTGTAAAGAAGAGTTCTGCTCCTGCCAGGAGTGTTAGTGTGGGAGATGCACTGAGCACATCTGGGTTGCCACCCAAGCATGCAGAGGTCAAGTCATCCAAAGGCCGCAGTACCTCCGTGCCTAGTCCCACAATTACATCTGAGCTGGTGCCGGCAGCACGCATGGCACCGTGACCTGCATCAGCACTGGCAACGGCACCAAGTGAACCACGTGCCTCCGCGAGATCGGCGGCGATGGCACCGATGACCCTGGCACCAAAGCGGATGGCACCGCTTCTGTCTCTGTTGGCACCGATGTCGTCTGCACTGGGTCTGGCTCTACCAGCACTGGCACCACCGGCACCGCTAACACCACCTCGGTGCCGAGAGAGGTCAGAACCAAGGTCCTTCGACTTCACACCGAATAGCCCAATACTCACGGCTCCGCCTCCCTTACATGCCTCCACAATATCAACTAAGGCAAAATAGAAAGCTAGGCATGTGCATGCACCAACGCCCAGCCCTGAGATGGCTGTTTTTTCTCCAGAGCCTTCTCATCCACCTCCCCATCTCTCAGAATTCATGGCCACGAGCACTACATCTCACCTCCACAACGACATTTGATATCCTCACGTCGGTCCCGCACCCCTTCTCATCATTACCGGTCCTATCGCTCTCATTCACCCTCGCACTACACAGTGCGGTCAAGGTCACCGGTGTCTCCAACTCCCTCACAGTACTCTCACTACTACAGGAGCACAAGCTCCTATTCTCTGAGGCACTCTCCTTATTATTATCACCATCGTAGCCGACGTTACACTTATTACTACCCTGAATGACTACGCTCGCGCAGTACAGTGCACTCAGCATCCAGGTCACCTAGACCGGCTCAATCCCGATCTCCATACCGTAAGGCCTGGAGCATTCCACCTCCTGAGCAAGCTCCACTGACACTCACGGGTGCTGCACTCTACCTCTAGCCACCATGAGTGGGATGACAGTCTACCCCCCACCTGGGAGCAACAGCACATGGACTCCCCCACAAATCAATTGTCCTCCTCACCAGACGATGCAGTTTTTCAGGGTGACTCTTCCCCTGTAGATGATTATAAACAGTTCCAGGAGCTATTTAAAAGGGTATCCCAGTCTCAGGAACTACACATAACGGACATGCCACAAAAACAACATCTCCTGAAAAATTTACAGCTGTCCCAGAAATCTAAATTGGCTCTCCCCTTTGATGAAGCCATCCTGGAAATTGCCAACAATATATGGCAAACTCTAGCTTCTGCGCCACCTACCAATAAGTGGGCAGATAAGTATTTTGTTGCCGCTAAAGACACAGAATTTTTATTCACGCATCCCCAGCCCAATTCCATCGTTATGGATGCCGCACAACAAAGATTGAAGATGGTGCAGGGCAGGAGCGGCAGCGCCTAATAAGGATGTGAAATGGCTGGACTTGTTGGGCAGAAAAGTCTATTCTTCTGCCACAGCAACCCTTATATGATTTCAACAATTACTCCAAGCTTGTCACCCTCATAGAATACTTGCCTGAGGCTCAGAGGAAAATCTTGAAAACCGTGGTGCAGGAAGGCTACACAGCAGCCCGTACAGCACTGCAAATCACCCTCGACGTGGCCTCTCAGATTACGGCAACATCAGTGGTCATTCGCCGTGCTTCCTGGCTCCACCTGGCAGCTGTTCCAAAAGACCTCCAACCAAAGGTCAAGGACTTACCCTTTGATCATCAGTTGCTGTTTGCTCAGAACACCGATCAGGTCTTTCATTCCAGCAAAGATTCTCGCACCACTCTGAGGACACTCGGAATGTATACTCCACCATTCAGGCTCAAGAGATTTGGTTCCTATAATAAACAAAGACCATTCTCCTATGCTGCACCCTGCTTCAGGCCATATGATCAGCCAAGGCAGAGACAATGACCTCAGCAACGTCGCCAACAACCCAGTAAGACGTCCAACCAACAATGCACTCAGCAGAAGGTTTGACGTGTCGATCGAGAGACTGCATACTATCCCTCTTACAGAGGCTCCACACAATGCGACCAAATTAGTTCATCATCAGTTGAGACCATATCACCTCCGCTGGTTTGCTATAACCACAGACTGTTGGATCAGGGAGATCGTCACATCCGGCCTCACCATTCCATTTTCTATCCGGCCCCCTCCCACTCCTCCTTTCCTGCCCCTCTTCAGGGACACCTCTCATGAACCGCTTCTACAACAACAGGTCTCACGCCTACTAACCATCGGGGCTGTGGAGAGTGTACTGTATCAATTCAGAGGAAAAGGCTTCTATTCCTGGTACAGCCTCACTCAAAAGAAATCTGGAGGATGGAGACCTATCCTGGACCTCTGCAAGCTCAACCGCCACCTTTGAAAACAAACATTCAAGATGGTCACATTAGCCTCTATCATTCCAGCCTTAAACAAAGGGGATTGATTCGCGTCCCTTGATCTCCAGGATGCGTGTTTCCACGTAACAGTTCACCCGGCCCACAGGAGATTCCTCCATACTGGGCGATGAACGTTATCAGTACAGGGTGCTACCGTTTGGCCTCTCGGCAACACCAAGCGTGTTCTCCAAAACCTAGCCATCGTAGCCACCTACCTTCGATGCTGCGGCATCACCATCTTCCCCTATTTGGACAACTGCCTACAGAAGGCCCCAACTGCAGAAAAAGCTATGGCGGCAGTCAGCACAACCAGAGCAACATTCGAAGCCCTAGGGCTTATTATCAACCTCCTGAAGTCTTCCCTAGCTCCTTCGCAGTCTCTCAGGTTCATCGGGGCGAGGCTGGATTCCACAACAGTGGCCGTGAACTTACCTTTCGACAGGTCGCTTACCAACTAAGACCTAGGGAATACTCTACTCACCGCCCCCATACTCACCTGCCTAAAACTGCTGGGGCACATGGTGGCCACCACTGATGTAGTTCCCCATGAGAGACTCCATTTGATGTGTCTTCAGCATTAGGTGCTCACAATATATACACTGGGCACCCAGAATACACGCAAGTCTGTGGTTGTCCCCAAACACGTGAGAGACTCATTACCGTGGTGGCTCAACCCGAAGAATACCCTAGTGGATGTCCCCTTTCATGGCCAGAAACCAGCAGTACAAATCATCATGGACGCGTCTTTAATTGGTTGGGGAGCCTATATGCACCATTACCAAGCTCAGGGACTATGGACGCATCAGGAGTCCCTCCTGCACATAAACTTTTTAGAGTTGCAGTCAGTGTTCAATTCCTGAAAAGATTTCCTGCACACAATATGAGGAATCCCAGTACAGATCTTCACTGACAACATTTGCGCTGCCTACTACATCAGTTGGCAGGGCGGTGCCAGATCCCGATCCCTCTGTGCTGAATCCATCCGTTTATGGAATTGGGCTATCCAGCATGGAATCACACTCACTGCTGCATACCTGCCCGGCAAGAGCAATACTATTGCTGATGCTCTCAGCAGGCCCTTTCCTCTACAGCACAAGTGGGAATTGCTAGACAAAGTAGTCTGCAGCCTCTTCGAGCACTGGGGATACCCCTCCATAGACCTTTTTGCCACTCAGGACAACAGAAAGTGCCACCTCAACTGCTCAAGAGAAGGCATGGGCACAACTTCTCAGGGAGATGCCTTCCTTATCGATTGGGGAACGCAATGCTTACTGTATGCTTTTCCCCCAATCCCACTTATTCCACATGACGGCTGCTGCAGTTACGCAATTTACAGTCTCAGCACCATGGGTCGCTCCTTCATCCTCACATCGACTGATTACCCCTGACGACATGGCTCCTAGCTGGCTCCAAGGTGCTGAAATGATTTGCTCTCAGGTGGAGAAAGACATTCTTATCCATAGTAGGCGTCAGCACACCCAAAAGGCCCGGCAAGAGCAATACTATTGCTGATGCTCTCAGCAGGCCCTTTCCTCTACAGCACAAGTGGGAATTGCTAGACAAAGTAGTCTGCAGCCTCTTCGAGCACTGGGGATACCCCTCCATAGACCTTTTTGCCACTCAGGACAACAGAAAGTGCCACCTCAACTGCTCAAGAGAAGGCATGGGCACAACTTCTCAGGGAGATGCCTTCCTTATCGATTGGGGAACGCAATGCTTACTGTATGCTTTTCCCCCAATCCCACTTATTCCACATGACGGCTGCTGCAGTTACGCAATTTACAGTCTCAGCACCATGGGTCGCTCCTTCATCCTCACATCGACTGATTACCCCTGACGACATGGCTCCTAGCTGGCTCCAAGGTGCTGAAATGATTTGCTCTCAGGTGGAGAAAGACATTCTTATCCATAGTAGGCGTCAGCACACCCAAAAGACCTACCTTCGCAAATGGCGTTGGTTCCAGTCGTGGTGTGAGGCAAGAGGTGTCGACCTTCTATCTATACCTATCCAGCAGATTCTTGATTACATTCTTCACCTGAAGTCAGAGGATCTGGCGATGTCCTCATTTAAGGTCCACTTGGCAGCAACTTCTGCCTTCTGTCCTCCCATCGACGGCAGCTCGGTTTTTGTGCATCTGCTGACCAAAAGATTGTTGAAGGGTGTTGTAAACCTATATCCTCCTCACAGACCACCTCCGGAGCCTTGGGACCTAGGCCTAGTCCTGGACACGCTGACTCGTTCCCCTTTCAAGCCCCTAGCGACATGCGACCTTCAC